TACCTTTTTTTTTTAAAGCTGCTACCATTCTTTAGCATTATTGTTTTTCTATAATATTGTGACCTGTCCTTATTTTTGGTTCAAGTTATATATAGCATTTCCTACATTTTGTTCTGGCTATTTATTACTCAGGAAGTTGAAAGTTTTCTTATTACTGAGATGACATTCAAAGATTTTTAAGTCCATCAGAAATTAGTCTGTCTACACCTGCCAAATGAAAACCAGTAATCACTGTGGCCTTTTGGAGCACGACTGCTATATCAGATCACGCTTCCAGCCACCAGTGAAAACATGCTGTTCCTCACAAAACTTGCTGGTTATCGGAGCTATTGACTGAACAACTAATCAATATCCATTTCTAATGAGACGGAAAATCTCTATTATCTATAAGTATCAGGCACGACATTAGGAATAATAAGTTATTTGTGGAAATATTTAATCAGAAGGGTTTCTTAAATGGATCTAGCACAAAGGTCAAAATAAATTTATAGTTATCTGTGGGAAAGCAAGGGAAACTGTCAGTTGAGAAAAACCCTGCCTAGTAATTAGAAAAGGTTATTCCTTCTGCTCCTTAATCTCGAATCCAATGTGATTGGACTTCAGATACAAGGGACAGTCAGAGATGCTAAGCAGGGAAGCGATGCACATGGATGGAGATGGAAGAATGTATCTAGATCGAGAAAACTGAGGCTGACAGCTAATATTCGCTTATCCAAAACTTTTAAAGGTCATAAAATCTTGACAGAAGCATCCTCGCTGGTGCCGAGCTCACTGGGCCTACTCCAGATCATGCTGGTAACCACCGCAATGTGGAGACACACGGAGCACTGCAGGCTGGCAGCACAACATTTCAAAGAAATTGAGAGATAGGTCAATCATGAATAATCTGCTCTTAAGAGGTCTCAAAAAGGAACTGAGCCTTTGATTTCAGAGTCTGTAATAGCTACAGTCTGAGAGAGATAGTTTCAGCCAGTACTGGACAGGATTTTTTAGCAAACGTGTCTGGAAATAGTAAGCATATGTGATGCTTCCATGCTTCGTAAATGGTTAGAAATAACTTGCCGAGAATAGTCTGGGCACAATTTAACTTGTCCATTACATAATAAAACACCACTTCAGCCTAAAATACAGCCATGCGCTATCCAATAGGCCACGACCTGTTCTCTTCAGGAAGTTACTAACATGCAACAGCAAAGCAGAAATCTTGATCTGTGACAGCAAGACACAGTCATTTTGGAGCATGCTTGTGGCTCAAAAGCATCACTCAAACTCTTCTATCAAAGCAAAGCTAAAACTACAGCTTGGGAGGGTTTTTTTCCACAAGAATTGAAAAATAAGCCCATACTTTCAACAAGTCACCGAATCTTCCACTTGAACAGCTCCAGAACTACAGCATGTATCAACACTGTCCAAGCTGTCTATTGAAGCTCTGCAGTCTGCCAAAATATTCAGACAGTGCTTTGGCAAAATGTTTCCTTCAATTCATATCCTAGCACAGCTTCTTTTCTAGAGTCTCAGGGAAGGGATAATTCAAAAAGAAGCACCGATTAAGCAGGCTGAACTGCACAACACAAAGCTTCCATTCAAAAAGCCTGCTGTTTTTCAACCTGAGTTACCAACACTACTTATCTTACTGCTGTGATCAGAATCCCACATTATAGCATGAATTACATTTAAAACTTGATGTACAGCAAAGACTGCTCAGATAAACAGCAGAGCAAGCTAGAATTTCTTACACTAATTCTTGTCATGAAGGTCTGCATGAGCCCTGCAAGGAAAGCAAAAACAATCACAAGTCAAATGCCACAGTTTGCCTATGCTATTCATTTGAGTTATTCTCAATAACTCAAGGGAGGGCCCCAAGATGCCTATAGAGTAACCCCCCTGGCTGAAACCTGGCAGCTGTTGCCAGCTTTTCATGCTGTAGATGCCTTCTTGCAGAATTCTTTCTTAACATTTCATGCAGACATAGTGTCCTCAATTTTCACCTTAACTGATCTACAATAATAGGCAATTTCCTACCTCTCCCCCCCAGAAGTCTTCAATAAAATTATTATTCAGAATGTTTCTGCTATAGCTAATAAATGGCTTAGCAGCAGCAAGCTTTCAGAAAAAACACCTCTATAACCCCAGTTCCAGAAAAAATATGCAAAGTTATTCCAAGAAAATAAATTGCCAGTCAGACTGCTCTAATTGATCCAAGCAGTGCAAGTTCCCTGCAGAAAACAGTGTCAAGGAAACACATACGTAGTTTTCATAGCACAGTGGATTCAAACTGTGCTTTCTTGACTTAATGCTAAGTATAAAACTCTGCAAACTTATGAAGAATCCGAAAATCTCATGCAAACTGACAAGCCAACTTCATATAACGATTTGCAATCTTTTATGTTCTACATTATGACTGAGAAAGGCATCAAACCTCTGAAATGAAAAACAGGACATAAAGGGTAAACAGATATGAAAGAAACTATTCAGCTACGCACTTCGGTGCACAAGTCACAAGAAAATGGGAGTATGCACTGGTACTGTCCAACAAGTTTCTATTTGAAAAGACTCATTAAAGTAGGCTCTGCCGTATCATTCTTTATTAATAGACTGACTTTGGCTTGCAGTGTTTGGTTTGATTTTAAACCAGTGCATATGATTTCCCATAGGAGGAAATAAAAACCCAGTAATGAGATTCCAGTAAAAAATCAATCCAATATGTGAAAAAAGAAAATCTCAGTTAGTACTAATCAGTACAGCCACAGTGCCTATAGTGGAGCTATGCTAACATACATTAGCCCACTCGCTCCCAGAGAATTACCACCTCACCAAGATCCCAGTTCTGTTCTGTTTATACCAACAGTTGCACCATAATGGATCAAAACTATATTTTTCTAAAGAAAATTTATCCCTATGACACAGTGTTTAAACAAAATCCAGAAGCAGGAGCTATGTTATTTCGTAGTTATGAAGTCAAATATTTTAGACCCAAGAAAAGTTACTCATAACTTTTTCTCCTTAAGTTATTTCTGCTTTCCTTTGACTAGAGCTTATTTCCCTCATTCCACTAGGATATGTTCCAGGTCTTTTTCCCTTAACTGCTTTTAAGATTTTTTTATTAGTTCATTCTTTAAGTTTTTATACGTATAGTTTCAGAATTTTTCTTGGTCTTCTTTTTTTCATTTTTTTTTAAGGAAAAAAAAAAAAATTGAATTTTTCTTTGATGCCATTCTTAGTGACGTGTTTAAAGAATTCCAGCTGAATTAGATTCCTAGTTTGCCTTTACCAGGCTTAATTACTAACGCTGTTTTGTTTAATATAGTGTTGTAAACAAAAGACATGCTGGAAAAAAGCAAATACACTGAAACTCACTAAGAGTACGGTGGGGGAAAAGGGGGCAGCACCACATGCTAGAATATTGTTTTGCTCTATACAACCGAATCCCAACATTATCAAAATTTACTCCTCAAATAACTTAGACTATTAGAAACCGCTACCCTAAAACGTGCTAGAAATTGTTTCTGTAACACACATCCAAAATGCACACATAATGCAGTAATTGAAAAGCATTATTTAACAGCAAGTTACAGTGAAGCAACTATGACAACCAATCCATCCAGCACAGCACACACACACAAAAAAAAAATCACTAAATCAAGCATCAATGTTCACAAAAATCCTTCCTCCCAGTTATTTTATATAAACTTTTTCATACCCTGAGGATGTCTATAAGGAAACAGCAAGAAAATATATTAATTTAACTACATTTATGAATTTTTAACATCTTTCTTATAAACGCAAGTCAAGGGGTGATGATCAGGCCTAGAAAAATCAACTCAAGATACTCAGTGTTAGACATCAATTAAAACCCTGGGAAAGCCTTGTGACCTTCCCACAGAAGTGGAGGAGAATACTGTTTTCTGTTCTCTGAACTCCTTGTTTATTTACAGTCTACAGAAACTGGAGTTTTGGTCCATGATTAGAAAAATGCTGGCAAACACATGGGCTAGAAAGGATGCCTGATTACAAATTCATGCTTGGGGTGGCAAAGAATGACCTAGTCAGATGGGCACACACATTTTGAGTTTCCTCCAGTGGAGATACAAAACATAGTAATAACATTCCACCCCCATACTGCCTTTGCCATAATTAATTTTAAGACTGAAGCCATTACTACATGATTGAACACGGAACATGAACTAGATAAGCTCTCACGGTTCCTTGCAGTCCGATTTCTTTTGCTAATTAAAAATAACAGACTGTGCAACACACCGGTTTTATTCCTTTTATCATCAATACATTCAGTATACGTGAGAACAAACATGCTGGTGCACAACTCAGTTAAAAAACCACCACTCTAAAGGACTGGTTTATTAAGTGTAATTTATCTTTACATGTTAATGAAAACACAGGAAAAAATAGAGGGGGGGAAAGGTCAAGCAGTACAACATTTAAAAATACTGGATTACTTTTTTCTGTATTATGAAACATTATTTGCACAGTACCCGTTAATATCAAAGGTCTAATTCCATCTTCTAACTGTAGAACAAGTTTGACTTAACACAGAAGGAAATGTAGGCAGATGACTTGGGACCAGAAAGGGCATCTTATGGTTACTGAATCCAGACACTGGGCACTGCAGTCATTTGTTTTAATCTTATTGATAAACTTACCCAGGTTGGTCTTTAAATCTGCCTGATTTCTTTGCCAAAAAAAAAATGACCAAATACGTACCAAAGAGCTGCAGTTTTGCCATTTAAACCCAAAGCCTATGTTCTACGTAAGCCAGTACACTTCCCAGTTTTAAGTTTACTTTTCCCTCTAGAACATGAGGACACAGCAATGCTGAACTGTCTCTCAAAATCAAAATGTTTCAGGCAGTTTGTCAAAATTACAGCAACATTGTTTCAAAGCTCTTAACAGAGGAACAGTTGGCACACAACAACTGTCAGCTCAAGGAAAACAATTTAATAAATCTTATGAAAATAAATAAAAAAGAGAAAGTGTTTACATACCTATGCTAAACAGCTGCAAATGGATCTGTAGTTTTCCAAAGGTACTTCAGTGACGAGTCCCCTGACACAGTTCAGATCTCTTGAATACCATAGTCATGCAAAAAGAGCTGTTTCTCATCTACAGGTAGCATCAGAAGAGAAAGAAAATAAAAATAGCGTAGTTCAGAATAATAGCTCTGAAATTCGCACAGACATGCAAAGCTGCCAGCCCCACACAACCACCCTACCCACCTAATTACATTCAGCTGCTTGTCATGTGGTCTCACTGACCGATCAAGTGATCTCTTCTCCTCCTCCTAAAACTAAGCAACATAGTTAACCAGATCTCCCTAAACCAGGTAACAAACATTAAGCCTTTGCGTAAACTACTGACCCTCCTCCTTCTTGACACAGGGAGAGGAAGTTGCAGCATGTTTCATTATAAAAAAATAAAACACAGCACACACAGTCTACTATAATGAAACACAGCGAGCACCAAAAGCTCCTAAAACCTAAAGAAGAATTTCAGTTTTGAGCCTGGTTTTATTTTATGCCTTTGCAGATGGCAGAAAAAGTTACCAATAACAAAATAGGCGCAGACACCAGAGTGAGACCAGGTGAGATGGAGCTGGAAGGATTTGGGAGCACAGTGGCAGCAGTGC